ATCAAAATGCTGAATATATAATAGTAAAAAATAATAAAAATAATAAAGTCACAAATCAAATCGAATGTGTACCCATTATATTATTAATTATCCTACACTTAGTGTACTAAATGTATAATAACATGAACAAATAAATTTGATATTTATTGGCAAAATGAATATCCGGAGGATATCGTAACGATATACTCCGGGCGGAGGATATCGTGACGATATACTCCGGAAAACCCAATATGCGGAGGATATTGTGACGATATACTCTGCTTGTTGATTTCCCGCCAAATTGACTCTATTTGGCATGAAATTCATTTTACAATGATATTATACATTCAGTACACTCCTTGTAAGTGTAGGATAATAAGAACATCCTATGATTTTTTTCAGAATATCATTTTAATCTACTCGGTGATATTGATATATGCACTCGTTTGCTTCGCTCTCTCGTGCAAATATCAATATCACCTCGTAGATAAAAATGATATTCCTCAAAATCATAGGATATCCTATAATTATCCATCCATTATACTATTACTGTATACAATTTAAATATTGTGTCCACTTTAATACTACTTAGGCCTATATCTTATCTTACAAAATAAATATATATATAGGCCTATTCTATACCATGCCATTATAAAAAATGCTTCCAATTCAATATTTTCCTCAATAACTAGTAATTGTTTGGGCGTTATCAGTTGCTCTATTCTACAAATGGACTTATTATTTCCTCTTGTTTTAAGATACACACAAATGGAGAGAGAAACGCTGAACTGAAAATGGGAGCAGGAAGCAACCAGAGCGGCGAATACAAGCACAACCGTTACAAGGACTGAATTATAAAATTAAAATAGAACTTTTTGACATTAGGACATTTGTAATTTTTAACAATAGGCTCAGACTTCGGTAACACTATAGTATCTGATATATTTTGTATATTTTGTATATTTCTAAATAAAATATAGGTTTTGTATTAGTATTCAATATTGAGTGTTTTGTATATTTATGGGGACAACAAAATAATCATTAAATACAAAATCCAAGTAGTAAATGCAATTATATAGCCTACAATACACCAATATTAGGATCAAAGCATTTTGAATTTGATACCCATTAATATATATATATAATAGAAATGAATACAACTAAATAAAAACCAGGGAATCAACCTGAAACCAAAAACATAAATTCCTAAAGGGGCCTAGCCTATAAAAATTAAAAACAGCGCTGTACAGCGCTGTTTGAGTACAGCGCTGTACAGCGCTGTATGAGCTACAGCGCTGTACAGCGCGGTACTCAAATTGTACTGTTTTGTACTGTTTTGTACTGTTACAGCGCTGTACAGCGCGGTACTCAAATTGTACTGTTTTGTACTGTTAATACAGCGCTGTACAGCGCTGCAAACAGCAAGATGATGATGCGGATTGGGGGTGTAAGGGACGAAATTACTAGAAGGGGAAGAACTAATATCTAAGGGACGAAATTACTAGAAGGGGAAGAACTAATATCTAAGGGAAGAAATTACTAGAAGGGGAAGAACTAATATCTAAGGGAAGAAATTACTAGAAGGGGAAAAACTAATATCTAAGGGACGAAATTACTACAAGGGGAAAAACTAATATCTAAGGGACAAAATTACTTCAAGGGGAAGAACTAATATCTAAGGGACGAAATTACTACAAGGGGAAGAACTAATATCTAAGGGACAAAATTACTACAAGGGGAAGATCTAATCCCTGGAGGACGAGATTACTAGAAGGGGAAAAGCTAATATCTAAGGGACGAAATTACTAGAAGGGGAAAAAGTAATATCTAAGGGACGAAATTACTAGAAGGGGAAAAAGTAATATCTAAGGGACGAAATTACTTCAAGGGGAAGAACTAATCCCTAAAGGACGAGATTTCTACAAGTTTACGTACAAGTACAACGTGTAGCTTAACCTCCGTATATATGTGCTGGCTTGTATATATAACGTCTGGCTTGCATCATGACACTGGTCAAAACTGATCAGCATACCACTTGTTAAGACCCAGTCATATTTGCTCTACAGCGGGCGTATGGCGGCCGTAGCCTTTACAAAATCGATATAGAAAAGTTATATCGTACTGCGTATTTCTCAATTTTCGGAAGTTACGGCCATCGTACGGCCGCAGTAGAGCAAATGTGACCGAGGCATTACTTTCTATATAAAATATAGTATATTGGAATTATATCATCTGGTTTGTTGTTTTCTCATCAATGTCGTTCATATACTGTATATGTATCATATCTCGACCATCTTTGCCCGCTCGGTCTTCACTGCGTTCGATTGACGAGTGAACAAAAATGCACCCCAATACATCTGGCTTGGTAAATTCACAGAAGTCTGTTCCAAGAAAAGATCATATACTTAGTACCACACAACATCCCGAAATGACGGCAATGTCTCAAAACAAAATGAAACATTGGTTGAATAATGTGAACAGGGCAAAGACCAATTAGATATTCCATCCATATATTTTAGAAAATATTTCATATTTATATACATTAGAAACAGGCGGATGTTACACATATTATTATGCCCTTTACCAAAATTAAAAATAGATGTAATGAATGAAAAATACTGTACATATACCATTTCCCAATAATTACTCAACAAATAATAATAAAACAGTACATTTTCTCTCTGCCAAACTCCAAATACAATAAAATGAAAATGTATTTTTTCAAAAAATAAACACAGACAAAGTTTCTGCAATAGATCAAACCCCTATATACTAAATGAATTCAAAATTCTCCCATAAAACAAATAATACACTTTTCCTGTAACCTCTGCCACATTTTAATATGTCACAATGCTTGGGCATACTGGCTAGATTGATGATGTCATTGGTTGAAGGTAGAATTGCTTAGTACAACCGTTGACATCACAAGTATGGTCAATATATCCTACCTACAACCAATGACATCATAAATTTGGCCAACATACCCCAGCTTCTTTGATGTAGCAAAGCAAAATATTACAGAGATTATTGGGGATAGGACTAAAGCATATCTTGAAACTATGATTTCTACTTCTCATTTTATATACATTCTGTACAACTTATATTCACTCTTTTATCATTTCTATCTATATACATTTATGTACAAATGAATTACAAGATACACTAAAATAATGAACACATTGCCAGTGAGTTTGAAAACAGCAAGGACTTGTAAAAGACGGCACATTTGGGAGGCGGAGTTGAGTACGAGTTCTACAAACCTATGTGATATCGTAATAACCCCCCCACATACACATATGTGCAATCGACATTGATGATGACATACACCTGATTAACTTTACATATTTATAATATACAGGTATGTACATATAGTTTGCATATGTATAAAAGGAGGTTCAGTAGAATGAGAAATCTGTCAATCAACTCTAAAGCATTCTGGACAATCTAACTGGATTTGCAATATGGATCCTTGCCATGTAAGCTTGGCTCCTGTCACTTACATCATACACATACTGACATCTGCATCATAGACATACTGACACCAACATCAGACACAAACTGACATCTGCATCACAGACATACTGACACCAACATCAGACACATACTGCACTGACATCTGCATCATAGACATACTGACACCAACATCAGACACAAACTGACATCAGCATCATAGACATACTGACACCAACATCAGACACATACTGCACTGACATCTGCATCATAGACATACTGACACCAACATCAGACACAAACTGACATCAGCATCATAGACATACTGACACCAACATCAGACACAAACTGACATCAGCATCATAGACATACTGACACCAACATCAGACACATACTGCACTGACATCTGCATCATAGACATACTGACACCAACATCAGACACAAACTGACATCAGCATCATACTGACACCTACAGCAGGCACATACTGCACTGACATCTGCATCATAGGCATACTGACACCAACATCAGACACAAACTGACATCTGCATAATAGACATACTGACACCAACATCAGACGCATACTGCACTGACATCTGTATCATAGACATACTGACACCAACACCAGACACAATCTGACATCAGCATCATAGCAACATCAGACACATACTGCACTGACACCTGCATCATACACATACTGACACCAACATCAGACATACACTGACATCAGTATCACTGATATACTGACACCAACTGACATCAGCATCATAGACATATCGACACCAACATCATACATATAAGGTCCAAAATCACCCAACCTTAATTTTCAGTCCATTTTTAAATATTCTTGTTTGTATATTGATTCTCATTTCATTGATTTTACAGCCAATGTAACCAATATCTCAGATTAGGTGAGGCAAATTTTAATTGGTGAGGCAAAGCAAGGCCAAATTAAATTTCAAAAATAATGATTTTTTAAATAAACAGTGTCAAGTGAAAAAAATGTATTAAAATAAATGTATTTCTGTACAATTTTTTCTCACCTGCCTTATGGCTGACTATATGTCCATGTTATAGTCACCAAATGACTATATATCCAATTGACTATATTTCACACATACCTAGAGATACTCTATGTATTGTAAATCAACTGAAGCTTAACTGTATTAGTTGACTTACCATAGCAAATAAAAATGTGAAATACGAGGGCTAGAGCATAGTGCATTACTTCTGGGACAACCCTCGTATCTGACAAATGTCAACAAAATGTTGAAAGTGCTTGGAAATGAGAATGAGACACTTTCAAATGATATATGAACAAGATAAATGTTTAATTATATCAAAGTTTGACATATTTTGCAGAACTTCTTTAACAATCCAAAAAAGTTATCAAATCATGTCAACTTCATGCAACAGAGATGTAAAATTGGGTTCAATGTTGAATTGTTTCCATCCATATAAAAAATAAGAATTATATATAACATCAAAGCCTTGTGGCTATGAATGATTAGCATTTGTTCAGAACAATTTCATCATTCTTTTCTTCAAAATAAAATCTAAATGGCATCATAGCTAAATATGCACATAAACATATATATTTTTGTCACATCTCCAACAGTCGATTATTCTTTATAGTTCATCCTATTGCAACCTCTGCCCATATTTGGTTATACCTTTATATATATGTACCATGTTATGCCATTTTAAGTCGATACATGTACTGGCCTAGACATGTTTATCTTCAGGACTTTAAGCAGTAGAATATCCTCTTTGGTTTCAGTTTTTCTTGCCATTAATTTGCTTTGGATCCTGGTGGATAATCCCCTGAAAAGTTCATATATTGTTTAGATTTTATTCAATACTGCATCTTTAACTTCCACCTTAATGTTCTTCTCTACAATAACTGGTGCTATAGGTGGTTCATCCTGGGTGGGTGTGGTTGAACCAGGCTCTATGATTGGCTCATCTTGAGTTGGTGTCATTGACCCGGGTTCATCATGCGTAGGCGTCGCAAATCCATCGATTTCAGTTTTTATATCTGGCACCTCTGATTTTATAGCACTTATAACCGGATTTTCAATTTTTGTAGTCACACCCCCCTGAAGTGGATTCACAGTAGGCTGTTCTGTCGGTGTGGTTACACCCCCTAGTTGTAGATTAACACCTGCTTTCTGAGCAATTGTGTTGAGTAAAGCCATAGGGTCACTGGTTGGGGCCGTGGTGGGGGTAGGGGTAGGCTCTACTGAGACATTCTGAAATTGTATGATAAGAATAGTACAATAGCAGTACAATAATAAAAATTGTAGTAATATTCTACCTTGTGCTGTAAATTTCATTTTGCTCAACCAAGATGACTATTATAGACCGACTCTAATTCAATCTTTGAATGTTACTTTAACCTTTGAAGTCCCACTTAAGTAAAATTGTATGGCAGTGAGAATTTTATAACAAAAGGCAAATATTCAGAAAAACTTTTGCAATTTATTCAATATCATGAATGTTATCAAGCTACCAATGGCACGTTTGTTGTTCCCACATAAATGTGGGGTTGATTTTACATATCCTCCACAGCTACTTGTGTATAAAAATATAGTGGTTGAAAATAAGCTGGATCAGTGGTTATTTAGACAAAATTCAGCTTTAAGTCTACTGACAACATTTTTCAATACACAAGTAGTTGTGGGGGTGATTTGAAAAATCGACCCAACATTTATGGGGTTAGCTCATGTAGATATGTATATATCTCACCCCTTTGGCATCTTCGTAACAAACTGGGTGGTATGTTTTCCCGTTAATTCTCATTCCACCCCGCAGGCGCCAAATTTCTTCATCATCGTCAAAATATTGCTCAAATATACCGTGACAACTACGACACATCTGCAAATAATTACAATCTACGTTACAATTTAATTTACAATCATTTTGACTTTATTAAAAAAGTTGAAAAACTGAAATTTAAGTTTTCATTCAAAAAGTTCATTTTTTTCAATTTGTATTTTAACTTTGGAGAAAATTCTACATTTTATAGAATAGTTCTGACCATTTTTTGACCATTATTATGCTGGATGTAGTGTTATAAGTAAAACCTGTCTAAGCAGAACGCCTTCCACTTGTGTGGTATTCCACTTATAGCGGTTCATTTAATATTAAGTCAGATTGTATTGGGACTCTTGAGTGTTCCACTTCCAGGTGTTTCACTTTACTTGTTTCACTGTACTTAATTCAACTTAATTCAAAAGTCTAAAGCCTTACATTGTCTTTTTTATTCGCCAGGGCCATTGGTTCATATATGATTTCATCAGTGTTTGTGACAGGGGCTGCCATTAATGAGGAAGGATCCTGATTGGCTGTCGAATTCTTAGCGAATACATTACTCCTCGCTACAAGAAATCCATGAGTATATATACATGTATATCATAAAAACTGAGAAAATTACATTTGAAAATATTACAAATAATCTTTTAATGACAGGCCATTGAAACAAATCCATTCCAAGCTACAATGACAATCTACCGAAATTTCAGCATTTTTACAGTAGCATGCATTGGCTGATCAAGAAAAAAATCAATATCCATCAAAAATTGTACAATGCATTCTAGGAAAATATTTTTCTGTAAAATTCCTGAAATATTGACAATGGTAATCTGATATTCACATTTTTTATGACACATACACACATTTTATGACACATACACATATCTGATTTGACACATACCTCTCTCCTCAGCATCCCCAATCTCAGTGTATTTCCCCCAGTCATCTGTATCATAGTACCATGATCTGTTCTTGGCAACTTTCAATGCATCCTTTTTGATCTTGTTTTGCCTGAAGGTAAAAATTGTAATTTCAACAATAGAGAAAATAAGGTCCTTTCAATAATGAACAATGAAGAATACAGGGCCTCTTCAATAATGAACAATGAAGAATACAGGACCTCTTAAATAATGAACAATGAAGAATACAGGGCCTCTTCACTCATGAACAATGAAGAATACAGGACCTCTTCAATAATGAACAATGAAGAATATAGGGCCTCTCCAATAATGAACAATGAAGAATACAGGGCCTCTCCAATAATGAACAATGAAGAATACAGGGCATTTTCAATAATGAATGATGAAGAATACAGGGCCTCTCCAATAATGAACAATGAAGAATACAGGACCTCTTCAATAATGAACAATGAAGAATACAGGGCCTCTCCAATAATGAACAATGAAGAATACAGGGCCTCTCCAATAATGAACAATGAAGAATACAGGGCCTCTTCAATAATGAACAATGAACAATACAGGGCATTTTCAATAATGAATGATGAAGAATACAAGGCCTCTCCAATAATAAACAATGAAAAAACAGGAAAATTGCTGTATGACATAAAGATTGCATTTCCTAGATGTAAAATAAATAAGCACACTCTTTGTGTTGAAATGAGATTCATAATGCTCACAATACTAACGTATGATTTAATGTAAGTATGAAATAAAACTTCAAACCCATGGAAAATTTTTTTTTTAAAAAATGCGAATCAGTTACCTGAAATGCCAATGAAAAATGAAGAGTACAGGGCCCCTTCAATAATAAACAATGAAGAATACAGAGCCCCTTCAATAATAAATAATAAACAATGAAGAAAACAGGGCCCCTTCAATAATAAATAATAAACAATGAAGAAAACAGGAAAATTGCTGTATGACATAAAGATTGCATTTACCTGAAATGCCAGTCTAGATGCTCAGCGTAAGCTTCCGTCTGTGACATTGTGAAACGTTGACCACATGATGTGCACTGGATCCCAATATATAAGTTCTCATACGCAAGTTCAAACTTCCTGGAATACAAATATGCGTTTAAATGCAAAAGTAAAAAGCCTATAATTGTAATCATAACACCTTTGATAATAAATGTAATATGTATTGCAATGGTAGAATACTCAATAGAATATGTTTCACCACCTTAGACAAAAAATACTGCTTTAAGTTTGGCAAGATATCCTATCAAAGAAATATAGGATATCCTATGATTTTGAGTGATATGTGAAATATACGTAAAATCTTGATCTTGTGACTCACTAAATTACTATGTAATGATCCATGCATCTTTAGTGATATCTATGGAACATACTAGAATTTTGTAAATATCGCTAATTCATTGCATCCTGTGGGATCATAGGACAATGTATTAAACTATGAAATAATGCAATAAAACAGATTATAAAATATAGGAGATTGTAGAATGGGACAGCATCTTTTCCTATCAATCGAGGTTGGGCATGCAGCCGAAGGTAAGCCATACAACCGAAGGTAAGCCATACAACCGAATTTTGCTGATTCAATCTGACGGAGAATGCCAAGTCTCTATTTTTGACCAATTAGAGACGTCCTCTTCACATTCGTGGTATCCTCGGCCAACTTCGTTTGCAAAGAAAATCTTCGGCAATCTCCGGCTTTTCTTGAGGTATCTTCGATTGATTGCCAAAAGTCGACACCCATTGTAGAATATGGAGAAACTTTCAAACCATACTTACTGCCTCAAAAGATTGATATTGAAGGACATCAGATCAGGGAGTTGTTTCACTGGGGGAGGCATATCCCTGACATTGGGGACCTAAAACAGTGGAATATACGCTAACGTGCAGTGTATAACAATATAATGAAGCTTTCAGATCTACTGTACTTCTACTAAATTTGGCGCTATTTATTTTGGTAGATTTGCTGTTTTGAACATTTGGCGGCTTCTTAATTTGGGGGACTTGCAATATTACAATGTGCTAATGGTACTCATTTACATGGTACTAAAATAACTAGTAAATTTGGCAGCTACTTAATTTGACGGACTTTAACAATTTTGAAGCATTCGCAAAATTAAAATGGCCACCAAATAAAATAGAAGTACAGTATGTGATAAAATATTCATTTTTCTCAATTCGGAATCAATTACAAGGACAGTATTTTATTGTTTTCAACTGAAATTTGCATTTCCAAATTTTGCCTCACATATTTCTAGAAGCACTCTAAAGTTTGCCTCACATATTTTTAGATGCACTCTAAATTTTGCCTCACATATTTTTAGATGCACTCTAAAGTTTGCCTCACATATTTTTAGATGCACTCTAAATTTTGCCTCACATATTTTTAGATGCACTCTAAATTTTGCCTCACATATTTTTAGATGCACTCTAAATTTTGCCTCACATATTTTTAGATGCACTCTGATGAAGGTTAATTATTTCAATCTTCCCTGTTTTGATGATGGATAAGCCAAAAATTGTTAGTATTTCCCAGGATCAAGAAATAATGACACCAATCACATTGTTCCACAACTAGTTACTTTGACGGAATGTCAATGTAACAAAATGGATGAACTTCCTGGATACATGTTTTTTGTTTTCTCGGTTTAAACCTACTTATAGGTCAAGTTAGACAATATAGTCTAGCTTTTAGAAATGCTAGATCAGTTTGGAATTTGTTTTTTAAATAAAGCTGTTATTTATGCATTTAGACCTACGCTTTTGTTACATTGATGTAAGGTAGTCAAAGTAATATACATTGGTAATATATTGGACTTTCGTCAATGTAACAAAAGCGAGGGTCAAAATATATGGATTGCAACTTCATTAACAAAACAAATTCCAAATCGAAAGAAATTTATTAAAGCAAGACTATATTTTCTCGCTTTGTGCCAAATTATAATCAGCAACTTGACTAATAAGTAGGTTTAAATCTAGAAAACAAAAAACTCGTAACCAGGAAGTTCATCCATTTGTTACACTGACGTTCCGTCAAAGTAACTAGTTGTGGAACAGTGAATCAATATCAAATGTTGATTCTTATTTGATATGTCATGAGAACACTAAAACACAGATTGATTATAAGAAAGAACTTCTTTAGATCAAAGATATTATTGTTTTCTTTTGAAAGTATACCTGTTGAGATGGGGGTCTCATTCCAGGATGATCCCCAGGTTGTTGGGGGTGTAGGCCAGGGCGTGGCATCCCCATTGGAGGTTGTTGAACAGGTGGCACTTGTCCTCCAGGGGGTAGGAGTCCTGGTTGACCCCCGGGAAGTGGCAGGGCTCCTGAAATCTCTTCTGTCTTCTCCTGTTTAGTGATTATACCAGCACCGAGAAGTTTGGAGAAAAGATCATTGACATCAATTTGACTAATTGGATTCTGTGGCGCCATCTGTGGAGGTCCACCTGAAATTCAGACAAATTGATTTTCATATCAAAATCTTCAAAATAATATTTCTGTGTTACTGCCATGTTGGACATCATGTTGTAATTCTTATCATAATAACAATTTTAAATTTTAATGAGTTAATTTTAAAGGGAGTTATTGAAAGAAGTTAATGAAGTTTTATATTCCATTTAGATACTACTTCACTTACCCATATGTTGATCTTGTTGTCCCATATTTGGCCCTTGCATTCTACCAAATGGCCGATTTGGAGGTCCCATTGGTCCTTGGTTATGCATGAAACCTTGCGGTCTCATACCCATGTGCCTTGGCCCACCAGGTCCCATCATAGGTCCTCTTGGTCCCCCTGGTCCCATGGGTCTGTTCATTCCACCAGGTCCCATTCGAGGCCCTCCAGGTCCATGCATACCAGGTCTCGGTTGCATGCCAGGTCTTGGTGGTCCAGGTGGCTGCCCCCTCATTCTATCAGGGGGAATATCAGGAAGATCAAATATGCTTGGTATGTTGCCTCTAGGTGGACCTTGATTAGGGGGACCTTGGAAACCAGGACCACGAGGCCCATGATCTTGAGGCATGCCTCCTTGGAAATCTGGACCATCACGTCTTGGGATTTTAAAGTCTCTTAATCTCATCCTTTCCTCGTCATCATCTCGAATGCCTCTTCTATCGCCCCTTCGATCATCCCTAGGATCACCCATTCGATCCCCTCTTCGATCTTCCCTTCTATCATCCCTTGGATCACCCCTTCGATCATCTCTAGGGTCACCTCTTCGATCATCCCTAGGATCACCCCTTCGATCATCCCAAGGATCACCCCTTCGATCATCCCAAGGATCACCTCTTCGATCATCTCTTCGATCAGCTCTTCTATCATCTCTAGGATCACTTCTTTGATCACCTGTTTGATCATCACCATCTCGTTTTCGATCTCTCCTTTCTCTACGTTGACTTCTTTGATCTCTTTCTTGGTTGCGAAGTTCCTTCTCCTTTGATCGTCTCTGATCCTTATCATTTTTCGTTGCTGTTTTATCAATAACCTTTGCACCATTTTCATCAGCAGCAACCTTCTTCTCACTCTCCTCAGGTTTTTTATCTTTTGACTGATCAAGTTCACTGGGTTTATTATTGATAGCCTTCTCAGCCTGTTTTTTCTTATCCTGTTCTTTTTCAGCCTGTTGTTTCCTAGTCTGCTCTTTCTCAGCCTGTTCTTTCTCAGTCTTTTCTTTCTCAGCCTGTTCTTTTTCAGCCCGTTCTTTCTCAGCCTGTTCTTTTTCAGCCCGTTCTTTCTCAGCCTGTCTTTTCTTTTGCTTCTCCAGTTCAGCTTTTTCTTCAGCTTCAATTCTAGCTGCTTGTCTTTCCAAAGCTTCGATTTCATCAGCTTTATTTTCTAAAGCTTCCTTCTCCTTTTGTTCTTTTAACCGTTGCTTTTCAGTCTCTTCTTCTAGGTCCTGTCGTTCCTTGTTTTGCTTGTGCCAGTCTTCCACTGTGATTCCTTCATCTAAGATTTTCACTTGTGGTGGTGGGCTTTCCAGTCTTAATTGGTGAATTCTACCTCCAAGCAGAATCTCTCTTTCTGGTGCCCCGAACTGGCATTCATAATACCTCCCATCTATAAAAACCTCTTTTCCGGGTCCACCAAATCCAACCAATCGAGGACGACGAGAAATTTTCACCTTCTTAGGGGGAAGGGATAAAGGGACAGAGTATGGCTCGTCATCTATGATGATGTCACGGCAACCACCTTCAAAACATATCCCATGAGTCTTTCCGTCAATTTTGCACATGGGTGTGCCACTGTCTAACTTCAGCACACATTCTTTGCCGTCAATAATAATATTCTGAGGAGGGGGAATAAAGCGAAGCTCGTGTCTTTGGAGTGATATCATTACTTCACGAGGTGGACCTCCAAACTTTCCGATGCTCAAACCATCTATTACAATGAAACCACTTTTTCCGTCAACTCTGATTTCTTTCATTGCATCGCCAATCATTGTCTTTTGGGGTGGAGCATCTAAGCGAATTGTCAATGGTCTCCCATCAAGCCACACTGTTCGAAGCGGCCCATGGAAAAATATTTCATATTTCTGGCCACCAATCGACACCTCTCTGATTGGATCTCCCAGTCTATAGTAACAACTCCCGTCAATCAGAATCTCTCTGTTTTCAGCATCTGCTTCAACTTTCAGCATTCGACTGCCAAATTTGATTTCCCGTGGAGGGCCGCCTAGGATAAGTTGATATGGTGTACTGTCAATGATCAACTCTTGTGACATCTCAGGGGGGAGAGGCTTTGAGTAATCAAGGGAATGTGGACCAGATTCCTCCACTGGTTTCTCCTTTGTAGGTTCATCTACAGGAACAAGCTTAACAGCTGATGTGTCCATTGGTTCATCCATCGTTGGTGTTCCCGAGCGGCTCGAAGTCACTGATGAAGGAATAGCAGAGTGGGGAGGTGTAGTTGGGGGAGCCGATTTAACACTTGGACTTGGAGTTTGTTTATCTGATTTTGACTTGGACTTCTTATTCTTTTCTTTAATTTCTTTTTTCATTGGGGCTTCTTTCACAGAAGTTTCCTTTCCAGAGTTCTTCTTTGAATTCTCTTCTTTTACCACTTCATCTTCTTTCATTGGTGGAGAGTCCCCAGAGCCATCTATACTTGATCTTTGGGATGAATTTCTAGTTTGCCTCAATGTGGTCATATGTCGAACATATTCAACATTTTCAATTGCATCCTTTGAAACTTTCTTAAGCCTGGCAGAGTGTCTCAAATATGGGTCTTCTTGGCCT